CTGACCACACAGACCCAGTCTCTCACATGTGGGCCTACCAGCTTTCTCCTGCTTGATTTGAAGCCGCTAGAATTTATGAGTATGTATACGTCAAACACGGTACCTCGTAAGACGTATATATCCGGCTGCGACAGTCAAAGGGTTAAAACAAAAAAAAATTTTTGCATGAAATATACATGTAGTACATAAACAATACATTGGGAAATGATGAATGAAACATTAACAACATAACACTTACCTTTATTGGAGATTCTTCTTAGTGTATGGGAGACTGGAGGAGGAGAGAGATTGGATTGTTTATAGTTTGGAAGGGGAATCCCCTTCCATCAACACCTCAGGTACCATTTGCTTTTCTGGGGTTGCTTCTCTTCTCAGTTTCTTAATGCCACTAGGACCACCTTGAGAGTCACTGGAGTCCTGTCTCGCAAAATAACTGTCCAGAGAGCTCTGTTTCTGGCGTCTCTTTAACACTTCCCTAAAATGGCCCAAGACTTTGTCACTGTACATGTTGCCAACATGGCTTGCAACAACCTTGTCAGGGTGATGTTTCTCCATAAAGCTTTCCATCTTACCCCACATAGCAAAAATCTCTTTAATTTCTGAAGAAGGCACCGTCTTCCATCTCTCTTCCTCCTCCTCTGCAGCAAGATTCTGAGCTGCGATGTGTTGCTCTTCCTGCTGAAGCTCTTGCAGCTCCTCAGTGGTGAGCTCTTCGTTGTGGACTTCCACCAATTCTTCCACATCCTCCAAACTCACAACCAACCCCATGGAACTCCCCAGTGCCACAATTGATTTAACAAGAGACATAGGCTCATCAGGGTCAGTCCCAAACCCTTCAAAATCCCTCTTGTCGAAACAATCTGGCCACAATTTTCTCCAAGCAGAGTTCAAAGTCCTGGTAGTCACTCCCTCCCAAGCCATACCTATAAGAGTTATGCAATGGAGGATGCTGAAGTGTTCTCTCCAAAATTCTCTTAGGGTCAAGTGAGTGTCCGTGGTCACAGTCAAGCACCTGTGAAACATTGCTTTGGTGTGTAGTTTTTTAAAGTTTGCAGTGACCTGCTGGTCCATGGGCTGGAGGAGAGGAGTGGTATTCGGGGGCAAGAACTTTACTGTGATGAACCCAAACTCCTCGAAAATTAGGTCATCCAAGTTTGGAGGATGAGCAGGTGCATTGTCCATTACCAGCAGGCACTTGAGATCCAATTTCTTTTCCAGGAGGTAATTCTTCACACTAGGGCCAAACACTTCATTGAACCACTCGACGAAAATTTCCCTCGTGACCCATGCCTTACTATTAGATTTCCAAAACACACACAATTTACTCTTCATAACATTGTTTTTCCTGAACACTGGGATTTTCAGAATGGTACACTAGTAATAGCTTCACTTTGAAATCCCCACTAGCATTAGCAAAGAACATTAGCGTCAGCCTGTCTTTCATAGGCTTGTGTCCTGGCATTGCCTTTTCCTCCTGTGTAATGAAGGTCCTCTTTGGCATTTTCTTCCAAAAGAGGCCTGTTTCGTCACAATTGAACACTTGTTCAGGTTTCAGTCCTTCAGTCTCTATGTACTCCTTGAATTCATGCACATATTTTTCAGCCGCCTTGTGGTCCGAACTGGCAGCCTCACCATGCCTTACCACACTGTGTATGCCAGTACAGTTCTTATATCTCTCAAACCAGCCTTTGCTGGCCTTAAATTCACTCACATCACCACTATTTGCAGGCAGTTTCTTTACCAAATCTTCATGCAACTGCCTAGCCTTTTCACAAATAATCGAAGTCATAAGAGTATCTCCTGCTAATTGTTTCTCATTTATCCACACCAATAATAACTTCTCAACCTCTTCGAGTACTGGTGATCTCATTTTTGTCAGCATAGTTACCCCCTTTGCAACAACAGCATCCTTGACTTCCTTTTTCTTGGCCACTATGGAACATATGGTTGTGTAGGGTTTCTTATACATCCTGGCCAGTTCGGCTGCACTTGTGCCACTTGTTCAATGATGTTTTTCTTAAATTCAATTGTATTTCTCACCTTCTTTACCACAGGCTTGGCACTAGGAGCTTTCTTTGGAGCCATGGTAGCTTATTTAGTACTTGCAAGCACTAAAATAAACGGAATATTATGAAATATTTCGCTGGAGCACGTGAAGGGACCTTCTCTCACTGGTAAACAATGCCAGACTGGCTGCCGCCCCAGCTCACACCGTGCGTACACGTCCCGGACGAACTACTACTCGCGAGTCAACTTATGAAAAGCGAGCCCATGTTTATACGAAAATATCCCTACGATTTCTGAAATCCATGATTCCCAAGAACTACGAAAAGCGGGGGACCACTGTATATATATACAGTGGACCCCCGGTTAACGATATTTTTTCACTCCAGAAGTATGTTCAGGTGCCAGTACTGACCGAATTTGTTCCCATAAGAAATATTGTGAAGTAGATTAGTCCATTTCAGACCCCCAAACATACACATACAAACGCACTTACATAAATACACTTACATAATTGGTCGCATTCGGAGGTAATCGTTATGCGGGGGTCCACTGTATATATATATATGTATATATATATATATATATATATATATATTATATATATATATATAATTATATATATATATATATAAATATATATATATATTATATATATATTGTCAGGTAATAAATTCTACTAAATTTCCAGTAGTATACAAAAATGCGCGAAGAGCATTTACACTGGCAATTCTAATTGTAGAACATGTGAGGACAAACTCGGGCTTGGGGGGGGGTGGACTCAGGTAATTTGAAGCTGAGTGACTTGACTGCAGTGGTTTGTAACTTACTGACCAGCCAACCACATTGTTATCTGTAATACTTAAAATACCTACATTCACTCAATCATTATATATATTTTCTTTTTTCAACAAAATGGCCGTATCCCACCAAAGCAGGGTGGCCCAAAAAAGAAAAACAAAAGTTTCTCTCTTTGACTTTAGTAATGTATACAGGAGAAGGGGTTACTAGCCCCTACCTCCCAGCATTTCAGTTGCCTCTTATGACACGCATGGCTTACGAAGGAAGAATTCTGTTCCACTTCCCCATGGAGGTAAGAGGAAATACACAAGAACTAGTATGAAAATAGAAGAAAACCCAGAGGGGTGTGTGTGTGTATATATATATGGTTGTACATGTATGTGTAGTGTGACCTAAGTGTAAGTAGAAGTAGCAAGACGTACCTAGAATCTTGCATGTTTATGAGACAAAAAAAAAAAAGGACACCAGCAATCCTACCATTGCTATCCAACATAAGAACATAAGAATGGGGGAACACTGCAGAAGGTCTACTCATATATTTATCCAATCTCTTTTTAATGCTGCCCAAGGTTCTAGACTCTGTCACCCTACTTGGAAGATTGTCACATGCAGCATTCTCCGCCTGACCCAGCATTCTCCACCTAACTAAATCCTATAAATACTCATGTACCTTTTACCCAGGTACATCTGTTTGTGACTTGATAAAGCCCACTGAGTAGACAAAACATTGTCAATAAAGGATCACATTATACTGCTTATGAGTTTATATTCCCATTGTGTCGGTATTTTATACCAATTATTTCCACACATAGCTTTGTTATGTCTTATCTACATATACTCATATTTTCATAGAGATGCCACATGTTAGATAAATGATAGATGCAAATTTTTTTAAATAGAATAAATTTGTACTCTGAATGTCTCCAAGTAATGATCCTTTCCTAATGTGCTGAAAATTTGTAAATAAGCGTAACAATTCCATTGAGTAATGGAATTTGAACCTGTGATTTGGTGGTCCTGAGATTGGTAGTCCAACACTCAACCTCTGAACCATAATGGGTCAAAGTTTTTGGTTGGTGAAACCTTGTAAACCTTTGTGGTTCAGTGGTTGAGTGTTGGAGTGGCAGAAATAGGATTTCCATATTATAGATTTGAATCCTTTCACCCCATTGAATACTCTTTTAATAACTGTATATAAAATGTGTAAAAGTGATCATTATTTCACTAGTGTTCTATGTATATTATGCAGTAATTAGCTGTGCAAGTTTATATGTGACTTTTTCTCCATTGTTCTATGTATATTATACAGTAATTAGCTGTGCAAGTTTATATGTGACTTTTTCTCCATTCAGATGTAGGTGATGAGGCATGAAGCATATGCTGTCCATAGGTGTATTTATATAGTTGTCTTTAATGCAGCAAGTTGCTTCTGGGTATCCACTGCAACTTCTGTGAAGGTCAAGGAGATAGACAAACTCAGAGCTTAACACCAGTATGTTAGGTAAATGGGCATAAATGCAGTTAATGGGACATTAGTTGCATCTGTGTCCACTTATCTAACATTTTGTTGATATTTCTGCCATTATTAATTAATATTAATATGAATGTTTTCCCTTAGTACAGTCCTCATCTGTGGGCGAAGTATTTGTCCCATTGCCCTTCCTCAGTGGACACCCATGAAGTTGCTCACTAATTAACTTTTTTCAGGTGTGCAGTTTATATATATGAAGTGTTGCTGATGGTAAGAGACAAATCAGTATCTAAACTGTGTTGAAAATACTTGAAAATATTACAGTACTGATGTACAGGATGTGAGAGATAATGACAGCAGTGTTCATATCAGAATATTTTTACTTGTATGAATAGTGTATTAAGGCATTGTTTATCATAGTTCGGATATTGGGTTTCCCTTATTATTGGCAACGCTTTATCTAATTGCTTCTATTGGTAGTTATTAGCCAATATATATATTTATATATATAATTATATATAGATAGAGGTTTGTGTTAATTCTTAGTCAACATAAGTCAATATTTTTGACAAATACAGTCTGTTAAATTCTTGAAAAATATTAGGTTATAATTTCCCCAACATATAATTGTTATAATTTCCACATTTTTTTGTTTGACATATGGTGACTAAGACTATTAAGCTGATGGTTATGGAGTCTGAGTATCAGACACTGTTGTCCCCAGGTCACACTCTGAATGTGGACTGGTGCCCGCAGAACTCCCACGACCATATCCCATCACACGGTATATGATTGTCTGTTTCTCTGATACTTAATGCCTTGCAGTGTACCCAGCACCTGTTCATTTGTCAATCCTTTATTGATCTTGTTGAAAGCATGTAATTCCATTAGAGTAATTGGAACTAGCCCACAATTTGAAGAGGAAACTTTGGTCAGTGTTTTGGTCAGTTGTATTTTGAAATATCTAAAGTCTCATCTCCAAATTGTAGGTTAGCTGTGAATTGTTTCAGCTTTGATATTGTGACTTACTCCTTGTACAGCATTTACAGTACTGTATGCTTCATACCTATGTTTTGTTCATGTGTAGTAAAATGTATTTCTGTATCTTGGTTCTGAGAAACCACTCAGGAATCACCATCTGTTAGAGTTTACCTTAAACTACCATCTTACAGCATCCCTACCACTTTCTACTCAGTTTGGTCTCTTTCTGCCTTCCATCCTGTAAATGATTCCTGTTTTATATGCAGAATTAGGACTGTCCCATCAGGTGAAGCCCATTCATACAGCAGACTTCATGCAACTTGTCCAGCTTGGATGATTCTCTGACTGTCAACAAGACTGTAGAGTTGAGTAAGAGGATTAGCTTAAGCAACAGTCTGTATTAGGCCCAGTTGTTCCTCTAAAGCAGAGATAGCTAATAGCATTCAGTGCAGAGGCCTTATAGAAAAGATTGACTTTGTGATGTATGTCCTCCAGTTTTATCAGTAGATGAAGAAAAGAGTCTGACTGACTACTACAGGGGTCACAGGGAATTTGTTTGCAATTCCATAATGATGGAGCTCCAAACAAGATGGTCCACACATACTCTCACTAATATGTTAGGTCATAAGAAAGCTGAAAGATCCTTTCTAAAATACCCTCAAGAATTATATCAGCCTTTCCCATCTACCACATATTAATTTATTTATTTATTATTAATTAGGACATGATACATAGATGTACAAAGAAATACAGAGGTTAAGTGTAACATGCCAAAAGCCCCTTGTATGCAGAGCATTATGGGCAGGCTTAAAATTAACTTAAGATTAGCTAAGCAGTGATATATTCCGTGGTAAAAACTACAGTAAACAAATAACAATTAAGCACAAATGAGTATTTCAAAGACAGGTCATATGGTCATTTGCTGAGTTGCTGTGCATTCAATAGAATGGAGTATAGTCTATTAGGTAATGTAATTAAAAAAACAAAGTTTGATAGGGTTACAGTATTTATTTAGTTACAGTTATTCAGTATTTATTTAGTTACAGTTATTCAGTATTTATTTAGAGTTACAGTTATTCAGTATTTATTTAGTTGTGGGTGAGTAAGTGATTTTTAACCCTTTGAGGGTTTCGGCCGTACTAGTACGGCTTACGACCCAGGGTTTTTGACGTACTAGTACGCCTAAATTCTAGCGCCCTCAAATCTAGTGGGAGAAAGCTGGTAGGCCTACATATGAAAGAATGGGTCTATGTGGTCAGTGTGCACAGTATAAAAAAAATCCTGCAGCACACAGTGCATAATGAGAAAAAAAAACTGACCATTTTTTTTAATAAAACAGCGACTTTGCACTGTATTTTTGTATGGTATTTATTGTTGTATTCTAGTTTTCTTGGTCTCATTTTATAGAATGGAAGACATATTACAGAAATTGAGATGATTTTGACTGGTTTTACAATGAAAAGTACCTTAAAATTGAGCTTAAAGTAGCAGAAATGTTCGATTTTTACCAAAGTTCAAAAGTAAACAAATCATGCCAAGCGTCCAATACATGTCAACTGGTGAGTCTAATATTCTTTTGCAAGTGCGCCAATATTATTTATACCATTTTTTACACTAATGCAGTAGTCTGCATAACAGTAAATCTTCTATTTTTTGTGAGAATAAAAATTCAAAGTGGAAAGCAAAAGAATGTAAGAGGGGCCTTGAGACGTGACTAATGAACAGAGGAAATGTCATTTTAGTGCCAGGAATGTCTTTCTTGTTTATTCTGGACCCTACTCGGAAATTGGCATCTTTTGAAATTTGTGTGAAATTGGCAAAATTGCTAAATTCTGACCACTGTACTGGATAGTTGAAATTGGTAAATGGGTGGTTTCTTGCACTCGTTCGATATAAAAAATGGAGTTCTAGCGAAATATTCATGTTTTTTGTTGACTAGTACAGTGGAATTGGCCGAAAATGGGGCTCAAAGTGGGCAAAATTGCCGATGTGTAAACATCGCCGAGACCGCTAACTTCGCGAGAGCATAATTCCATAAGTTTTCCATCAAATTTCATAATTTTGGTGTCATTATGATCAGGTAAAGATTCTCTATCTTTTCCTAAGATTTTTTTTTTTTTTTTTTTTTTTTTTTTTTTTTTTTTTTTTTTTTTTTTTTTTTTTTTTTTTTTTTTAATTTGGCCGACCCTGAGAACGAGTCTCGGAGAGGGCCTGTCGACCCTCAAAGGGTTAAGAAGAGACTTGAATTTATAAACAGACAGTGTTTCTTTTATATTCACAGGTAATGAATTCCAGATTTTTGGGCCTTTTATGTGCATTGAGTTTTTGCATAGTGTGAGATGGACACGAGGAACATCAAAGAGTGATCTGTGCCTTGTGTTATGGTCATATGTTCTGTTGAGGTTGGTAAGGAGACGTTTGAGGGGAGGGTTTATATCCGAGTTAAGTGTTCTATGTATGTAGTAGGTACAATAATAAGTATGGATGTTTTGTACGGTGAGTAGGTTTAGAGTTTTGAATATTGGTGGAGTGTGCTACCTGTAGTGGGAATTTGTTATCATTCTGACTGCAGCCTTTTGTTGGGTAATTAATGGTCTGAGATGGTTTATTGTTGTTGAGCCCCATGCACAAATGGTATGAATTGTCCCTAAATATGAAGGATGTACAGTGGACCCCCGGTTAACGATATTTTTTCACTCCATAAGTATGTTCAGGTGCCAGTACTGACCGAATTTATTCCCATAAGGAATATTGTGAAGTAGATTATTCCTTTCAGACCCCCAAACATACACGAACAAACGCACTTACATAAATACACTTACATAATTGGACGCATTTGGAGGTAATCGTTATGCGGGGGTCCACTGTACTTTCATGCCTAAAAATCAGATTTTTTAGTTTTGTAAATTGAGGGGGTAGACTTTGTTCCCTCACAAGAGAGTAAATTAGCAGTTTTCTGCATCAGCAGTCAATACACTGTTTTCATATCCTCTCTTCTTTCATCATAGGTCTTCCCTTCTGCCTCATGGAGCCCCTTGAAATAGTGTTAATATATGAAGGTGGGCTAGTGCAAGTTTAGGTTAAAGAGGAGATTGAAGAGGGATGGGATAGTTTTAAAAATGCAATATTAGAATGTGGGGCAGAAGTTTGTGGTTATAGGAGGATAGGTGCAGGAGGAAAGAGGAGTGATTTGTGGAATGATGAGGTAAAGGGTGCAATAAAAGAGAAAAGAGTAGCTTATGAGAGGTTTTACAAAGCAGAAGTGATATAAGAAGGGCAGAGTATATAGAGAGTAAGAGAAAGATGAAGAGAGTGCAAAAGGAGAGCAAATGATAGAGTGAGAGAGGCACTGTCAACAAATTTTGCTAAGAATAAGAAAACATTTTGGAGATAAACAAGTTAAGAAAGCCTAGGGAACGAATGGATTTGTCAGTTAAAAATAGAGTAGGGGAGTTAGTAGATGGGGAGCTGGAGGTATTGGGTAGATAACGGGAATATTTTGAAAAACTTTTAAATGTCGATGACGAAAGGGAGGCAGTATTTTCATGCACTAGCCAGGGAGGTATAACATCTTTTAGGAGTGAGAAGAGCAAGATGTGAGTGTGAGGGAGGTGCTTGAAGCATTACATAGAATGAAAGGGGGTAAAGCAGCTGGAACTGAAAGGATCATAGCAGAAATGTTAAAAGCAGGGGAGGATATAGTGTTGGAGTGGTTGGTATTTTTGTTTAATTTTGTGTAATTTTTATTAAATATTGAGGAAGAAAGGGAGGCGGTAATTTCATGCACTGGTCAGGGAGGTATACCATCTTTAAGGAGTGAAGAAGAGCAGAATGTTAGTGTGGGGGAGGTACGCGAGGCATTACGTAGAATGAAAAGGGGTAAAGCAGCTGGAACTGATGGGATCATGACAGAAATGTTAAAAGCAGGGGAGGATATAGTGTTGGAGTGGTTGGTACTTTTGTTTAATAAATGTATGAAAGAAGGGAAGGTACCTAGGGATTGGTGGAGAGGATGTATAGTCCCTTTATATAAAGGGAAAGGGGACAAAAGAGATTGTAAAAATTATAGAGGAATAAGTTTATTGAGTATACCAGGAAAAGTGTACGGTAGGGTTATAATTGAAAGAATTAGAGGTAAGACAGAATGTAGGATTGCGGATGAGCAAGGAGGTTTCAGAGTGGGTAGGGGATGTGTAGATCAAGTGTTTACATTGAAGCATATATGTGAACAGTATTTAGATAAAGGTAGGGAAGTTTTTATTGCATTTATGGATTTAGAAAAGGCATATGATAGAGTGGATAGGGGAGCAATGTGGCAGATGTTGCAAGTATATGGAATAGGTGGTAAGTTACTAAATGCTGTAAAGAGTTTTTATGAGGATAGTGAGGCATGCATAGTTCCTTTGTATAAAGGCAAAGGGGATAAAAGAGAGTGCAAAAATTATAGGGGGATAAGTCTGTTGAGTATACCTGGTAAAGTGTATGGTAGAGTTATAATTGAAAGAATTAAGAGTAAGACGGAGGATAGCAGATGAACAAGGAGGCTTTAGGAAAGGTAGGGGGTGTGTGGACCAGGTGTTTACAGTGAAACATGTAAGTGAACAGTATTTGGATAAGGCTAAAGAGGTCTTTGTGGCATTTATGGATTTGGAAAAGGCATGTGACAGGGTGGATAGGGGGGCAATGTGGCAGATGTTGCAAGTGTATGGTGTAGGAGGTAGGTTACTGAAAGCAGTGAAGAGTTTTTACGAGGATAGTGAGGCTCAAGTAGAGTATGTAGGAAAGAGGGAAATTTTTTCCCAG